TCTGAGCAATGCCGCACGTGCCATTGCCAGGCCTGGTGCTGATTCGAAGTAGCTTGTCAGAGAGGTGGATGCCAGCAGCGGCCCCGGGAGGTGGGAGCGCCCTGAGCAGCTGACCAAGCTGAGGTCCCTCACGGCTGGCCCTTCAGTGCGCTGGGTGGACACATGAGAAGGAGCACAGGCAAGTGTCTCTCTTAGGGCTTAAGAGACAAGCCAAGTGTGAGACCAACCTCAAAGACTCACCTTACATCTGTGCCGTGTCATTTCACGTGGGCATTTGGTTTAGTAAGAAGCCAGTCCCTCTCGAAAGCTGGTCGAGTAACTCGTGCCCTGTGGGTTTTGTCCCTGGCCCAGCAGAGGGCTTCATGGACGTCAGTGTCCTGTCTTGCCAGCCATTGGGCCCTTTGACTTTCCTGGCCAGACGTGGCGAGCCTGGCCTTTCAGACATCAGTTGCATTGCCCTGAAAGCTGGTGTAGCTCTGCCCTCGGGTGGCACCACTGCGTTGGGTTCCAACTCAAGATGGCCCTGTGGAACAGAACCCTGCTCGGTCCCAGGTCAGACCCCTGGGATCCAGAGCACTTCACGGGCTGATCTTCAGAACGAGATTGCCGGGTCTGCCTTCCTAGGCTCGCCTGGTTCTGGGAGCACCTCTGACAAGACAGGTGGTGGCCGTGAGGAGGTGCATGGGCCACACTCAAACCTGGAACCTCCTGCCCGGAGCCACCATGCCCCTCACCTACTTGCTGTTAAAGGGCCTGGCGGAGAATCAGTAGTAAATAGTACAGCCTATTGGGAGACCATGGAGAGCACATGAGGGTGGGCCCACCGGTGTGTGTGGCGAGGCCCTTTGGTTCCATGGCCACTCACAGAGGTGCCCAGCTGCGAGGGTTTCTGGGAAGCCTGAATGGGCCAGAGCCTGGCAGGTGCTGTGTTACCTCGTGTCAGTCTGTCCTCAGCTGTGACAGTGAGTGCTGGCTCCTAGCCGAACGAGGTCCCTGTTTCCGTGTCCAAGTTTGGTGTGAATCACCCCCAACTTCGGTGATTGGAGATGCTCCCCTGGGAATTGTGAGAAGGAACTATGTCTCCAGACTCCAGGCACCGCTCCAGTGTGCTAGCCTGTGTGTGCGCTGCTCGCCATCCTGGGGGAACAGAGGCCCCCTCTGCTCCCGCCTGCCATGTCCCTGCCAGAGAAGCCCGTTTAGTCACAGCGCCTCCCCAGCCCACTCCTCCAGGGCACTGGCTGTCGTTGGCGGCCGTCCAGTTGGCTCCGACGCACGGCGACCCTGCATACCACAGAACAAGCAGGTGGATATAGCATTTTAGAACAGGAGGCGTTCTCTTGGCAGAATAATTTGGCTGCCTGCTGCCCTTCCAGTTTCTGAAAGATGATGGGATGTCCTGAGAAAAGTCTGAAGGAAGTATTTCACTCAGCACACTTTTATGCCCTGTCCATGCTGTTTTCCTTAGTCAATACTTCACAAAAGAGTGTAAGGAGCTCTGGTGGTGTAGTGGTTACGAGAGGTGGGCAGCTCACTGCAAGGTCAGCAGTTCGAAACCACCAGCTGTTCCTTGGGAGAGAGACGGGACTTGCTGCTCCTGTGATGAGTCAGTCTCAGAAACTCCGTGGGACACCTCTACCTTGACCTCTAGGGGTGTGTGCATCTGCATTGACTCTGTGTTGTATGTTTTTGTTTGTTTACCAAAGGGTTCCATCACTATAAGTCATGCATTGTTGCCAGAGCTGTCCGGTGTGTTGTTTTGTTTGTTTTTTTTGGTGGGGGGGGGGGCGTTGTTTGCCCCTAGTCCTTAAAGACGGGCTGCACTTGCTCTGCTGTGCATGCGTAGGTTTTCTTTGCCTCTGCCCAGCGTACCAGCGCCTCCCTTTGGCAGCGTTCTGAAGCGCAGCATGTAGACTGACCACAGGTCTCTGTTCTCTGACTCTGGGTAGAGCCTGGACGCCTCTGGAACTTGAGTCTCGGCCTTAGCTGGGTGCTCTAGGGTGAGGGTGACCCTGAGGGGAGGGGTCTTCTCCCTGTTTTCCTGCCGAGCCATGCAGATGATGCGAGATGGCTCACACTCGATGTTTTAAAAGCCTCCGTGAATTCCCCCTTCTCACTCTTCCGGACTTGCTGCTACCGAGTTGAGTCTGACTGATAGCCACCCTGTGGGGCAGGGTAGGACCCCCTGGTAGAGTTTCAGAACGGTAACTGTGCCAGAGTAGAAAGCCTCGCCTTTCTCTTGGAGCAGCTGGTGGTCTCAGACTGC